TCACCTCATGTTACCTGCTACTCAGAGCACACTGGAAAGTTTCCATGTGAGAAATAAAGCGATCATTAATGAAATGATCTGGTGGGCTCAGAGCTAGTTTACCATAGCTGGTTTAGTGCATCTCAGGCTATGGTCATCACCTGCATGAGGTCTTTTAGCACCTTTGCTAGTGTAGGCTGCAGGGTGAGAGGGGGAAGGCAGCAGCTCCAGTAATGCAGAATAAGCCAGGATACCTTGCGTGTTTGGCCGAGTCCTTAGTCTAGATTGGCTGTGAGCTTTACAGCGAGGACTGACCTTGAACCCACATGCAATGGCACGACAATATAACCAAGCGGTGTAAAAGCCCATGGGTTTGCTCCCTGTGGGGTTGTTTAAAATTTTTACTTGGTTTGGATTTCTTTATGGAGCTGCTACCTCTCAGTTTTGCACTGAGACATCAAATGAATTCCCAGAAGATCAGCTGAGGGTTTCAACTTTTCCTTGGCCCTTGAGGTTGAAGTATTTGCAAAACTCCTCCCAAAGTTCAACTGACCGTGGAGCCTGTGATGAAAACCTTTCTCCTGTTGGGTTTTTAGGGTTGATGTCAAGAGTCCGTGGAGACAAAATTAATATTCAAGTATCATAGTAACTGTGAAGACCAACTGCAACACTGGTTGGTGAAGGTAGAAATCTGTTTGGATCTGTCACAGGACCAATGGTGTTGACTCTCACCTTTTACTGATTTAAAAGCAAAAGGTGGAACTCTAATCTGATAGAGGTAAAGGACACATGGGACTTTAGTTGTTTGAAGCATTTTTAACTACTTGCAGTCTAACTGACCCCAGCTGTAACTTCCACTGTCCATCGAGCAATAGCTGTGATTTATCCATGTAGGTGCCAATTTGCTGTAAGGAAAGAAAGGGTCCTAATATAAAAGGGAAAGTTGGTGACCCAGACCAACAGGGTAAGTGCGACCTCATCGCATTCCTTGCCCTATGTATGATCTGCGCAGGCTGAGAGGAAGCGCTAAATGCGTTTTCAATTTTTAAAAAAATTCTCTCTAGTGCAGGAAATAGAGAAATACATCCCTGTGTACTTTTTGGAATGTGGATTATGTCTCCCCTGACCCACATTAGTAAAAACACCAGCATTTTGGGGGGTGGGGAAATGAAATTTGCAGATCTTTTCAGTTTGCCTTTCCCAGCTGGTCATTCTTCCTTCACTGACAATAGTGCAGTGATGTGGCTCAGGCATTAACAAAGAGCATTAAAGCATGCAAAAAAGATGATACTTGTTTTATCCTGGAATTTAGTTTCCTTTTCTTATTCACTTAAGAGGAAAGCATTAACTATTTCTGTTTATATTTGATGTGTAGTACCATGGCCAGTGAATTCAAAACCGTGGCAGAAATTTGTAGCCCGATTTTCGGAATTGCTTGTTACCTGCAAGTCTGGGTCATGTGAATGAAAGCTGCAGGTATTTAGTGCTTCTGAATGTCACACTTCTTTCCCTTGCCATGCAAACATTGATAGCTTGACATCCTTCATGTGCTGTTACGTATCTGTGTACAGCTGTGGTTGCCTATATATAATGTATACATAAGTCCACAGTCTACCCAGAACTCTTATTCAGTTCATTCTTTGTGTGTAGTACCTGATGTAATGAGATGGTGGTGTTCTGTCCAATTAAGTGATTATATCTTGATTCTTTTCTTTTTTGTTTTTTTTTTTTTTTTGTTGTTTGTGTTTTGTTTTTTTTTTTTTTCCTTTTTTGAGTCTGGTTTTGTGGGGGTTTTTTAGCCTCTCTTCCTTGATGTGAGCAAGGTTATGAGGTCCATAGTGAAGATATTGGCAGCTTTACAGTTCTTATACAACAAAACATAAACTGAAAACCATTGCTTGATTACATTTCCTAAATTGTTTGACATACCTTGTTGAGTTGAAGGGGTGGCTTTAGTTTGCTTTCTTGTTTCTGGCTAGTGAGAACAGTTCTTTAATTGATATATTTTGACTTGGCAGCTGGGTTGCTTAACGTGCGGCAGGCACTGGAGGAGGGTGGCACCGAGTTGGTAGCAGAGCTTCTCCAGCACCACAGCAGGCTGTCCGTGCCCCATGACGTTCTCTCTCAAGCAGCAAACAGAGCCTGGGAGCTCCCCTGTGAACGGGGAGATTCCTAATCCTCTTCTCACTGCAAGTGAACCTGATTAATTCCAGATGTGCATAGACTTAATGACTCAGAAAGCTGCTCGCTTAAAATGGGACTTACAGCACAATCTCATGGAGCCTTTCAGAGAAAGAACTGAACCCCTCTGCCAGCCTAAAATCAGTGACGTTTTTCAGAGTTTACTAGTGTGTGAATTGTTTGTAGGAGCAACTACAGTGTGCGCTTAGAAAGTGGCATTTTCTTTGTCTGCTGAGGAAAATGTTGTTACAAACATAATTTTGGTATGATGCACTTTTAACAGAGGAGTGATAGCTTTAGAAAGGAGTAACACAACCCAATGGTGTTTATTTTGACATTATTTCTTGTGGGTTTAGTTTTAGTTTTAGTTAGGATTTCATTCTGACTATTTTTTTATTATTCAGTAGGAAGGAGAGTATTCTTGATTGTCTTTACGTTAAATCTCAAAGTGCTGCTACTACTAATTCAGAGATAATTCTGTAGCATGCATTGCATTTAGTATCAACCCTGCATCAGATAAATATCTTTTAATGTTCCTTTGCCTGCTAAGCAATACTTCCAGATTTTGCTAATGGGTTTGATAGATGTTGATTTAAGTTTTGACGTGATTGCAAGAAGTGAGATTATAAAGTTCATGAGAAACAATTCACAGTAATAAATGGTTGGTTTATTTCTTTGCTTCTAAATGTGCACTTTTGATTATTAGAAAATCGCAGTAGGTTGTTTAGCATCTTCATAATTTGTCTGCTTTTCAACAGTAAACATTGAGGTTGGGGCCAAAAGGTTAAATGCTTCCAAGTACTCTTACATAGCTGGGCCATTATTTTGGTGCATAAGGAGCAACAACACAAATTATTTGGACCTCTCAAACTAGTTTTGCAGTTGATCCTGTGCTGCATACACTTTTGCAAATGTTTATTTGCACTGGTAGTTGACTATGAGAATAAACTATAAAGTTTAGAAAGCAAAATGTCCAATTATAAGTAGGATTGGTTGGTGTCTGCAGTTGATTGTGAGAAAGCAAGCACATTTCCTGGAGACTTATATCTGCCTCATAAGAAGCTGTCATTAAACTGTAAGCCATAATTTTGGGCCTAATAAATGAAGATCATCATAAATGAAGTAAGTACAGGAAAAAAATATGCCATAAATATTGTCTGCGTTACATGGAAAAGTTACACTCCCAATCCACAGCCTTCAGCTTTAAAGCCCGAGTCTAGACCATCTTCCTCTGAACTTCTCACCAGAGCCCCGGGCTGCTTCAGTACCTACCTTCGGAAGCCCATGTCTAGAAAATTCTTGGCAAACGCAGGGAGATGGAGCCCAGCGAGCTCGTGTCTGCCTTTGGACTTCTGGTATGGCTGTGGTTGGCAGAAGATGCTGAACGGTTTCTAAGCACCGCATTCTCAGAAACCCCACTTTTGTGCAGATGCTCTGGCTGCAGTACCATGAGCAAGGCAGGCAAAGGAGGGCTGGTGGCAATGGAGGGACAGACTGCCTTTAAACACAGCTCTCATCCTGCACCCCAGCCATTTTCAGAGGGTGACTGACATGCAGAGGAGCAGCGTGTGCCGATGTGTATGTCCTTGGCACAGCCAATGGAAATTGGGTGAGTGAAAGGTGGCTTAGTTGGCTATGGATTTCTCCGTGCCGTTGCGTGCTGCTGCATGCGTGTTGTGCATGTGTGTTGTGCAACAGCATCTAGTAGAGTGGGTGGCACAAGGGTACATTTCCTCAGAGGTGGTTCCTTCTTTACTTTTGGGCTGGCTGTTGCCTTAGAAGAAATAATTGAGAGCATCTTCCTGCTGTGTGGCTGGAGGTCTCTCCCCTTTTCTGACCAGCTACTTAGTGTTTTCTCCAGGATCTATGGATAGTCTCAGATTCCAGTTATGATAACTGTATTCAATTTGATATTTTGGCTATTTTTGCTTATTTTTACATTTATACCTGGTATATTTCATATTATCTTTTACTGTACTTATAGTTGCTAGACCTGCAGATCTGTGCATTGATATTGTATTTTCTTGTGATTTATCTTTAGCCTTTATTCCTACTTGTTAACTCATCTTCTGGACAGCCTGGTATGATTAAATATCAAATAATGAATGTGTGTGTGAATATTTATATTTGCCGCTGTGTGCATATCTGTGTTCATAACCTGTAATGCCATATTACGATAGAGTATTGATTCATGACATATAGCTGTTATTTTAAATCAACCATTCCCTTGGTATTCCACTTGTAGAAAATTACTCCATCATGTTAGGTCTAGTATAAACACCTGAAGAATGATTAGTTATATTCAGTGGACATTTGTTGTACTTCCCATACATTTTTTCCACTTAGACCAGTTTCTGGATCTTATTTGACCCTCTTTTCCATTTTTTCTATTCATAGCATAAGTCTAAGAAAATTTTTCAGAAAGTTACTAGAATGTTAGAATAAGTTTGAATTATTGAGAGAAAAATTGAAATAGCTTGTGTATTTGAATGTGGGCATAATATCTTGCACTTGTTACATTTCCCTTGTACAATTACTTTACAGTCAGCTATTTTATTCTCACTAAAACTGTGTTAACAATAAGTCACATGAAATAGTTCCAAATGAGGATCGTGGGGTTTCCTTACAGTCACAAAAGGTGGTGTCAGAACCAGGACTCAGGAGCTGCTCGTTCCCAGTACGACCGCCCCACCATACATTGGCTGTACAGCACATTCCAGAATTACTGACTGATGAGCTTTTAAGCAGTTGAGTTGTGACACTATTGTAACAGGAAAAAAGAAGGACCAGAGTGTGAAAGTTGCCCACAGTTAAACCAGTGTAACTGTTTCTGCCTACAGTGTTGATGACAGAACTGCCTACCTGGCCCTGGGAGCGGTGAGGAACATCTCACTTAACATTTCCATCTCTAACGTTGGGGATGATGCCTACGACACCAATGTTTTCTTCAATTTTTCTGGGGAGCTCTTCTTCATCAAAATGTGGCAAAAGGTAAGAAAGGCCAATCTTGCTATGAGCAAGTCTCCTAAATTTAAGCCAATTTAACTACAAGATGTAGGAACAGGGGGTGGCCTGGTCCACACTGCTGAGACATTTGGAAGTTATTTCTGGTTATGCTGGGCTTGAATTTCTTCCAGGCTCTTTACTGAGTTTTTTTCTTTTGTGGATTTGATCTGTGTAAATCACACCCTTTGTGTTTCTGTAGAAGACACAGCACTGTTACTTGGGGAGCACAAATGAAAAAGAAAGACCATTTGGTTGAGGTATTAAGAGGTAGAGGGAGACTGGTTTGGAAACTGGTAGGGTACCAAATGGCGCTGAAATACAAAGGGTGCCTCTAGTTTGAGTGGTGCCACACTGCATTCAGCAGTCCTAGTCATCTCCTGACCTGAGCGCCTAGTTTTTTTCCTCATTGAAACCAAGATACAAAGCTGTTCTTTGCTCATGTCCTGCTGCAAGTTTGGGTTGTGGCCAAGGCACGTCACTGATCCAAGAGCTCAAAAGTGCTTTTAATTTCACCAACATGGAGTCAGGTGAATATTTTGAGGTTTAGTCTCCTTACATTTAGATTTAAATACTTGCATGTTTTCATTAGTATGAGTTCATTTAAAGTTGTTGAAATACAAACACTGAATCAAGCTTTTTGCAAACTGATGCCTGTGAAAGCTGTCGTGAGTGTGAGTAATGTGAAAATAATTGTACAAAACGGGAGCTGTACAGTTGTACCAACATTCTGTCTGTTCCTGCTTTTCACAGTTGTTTGTCTCTCTGCTGGAGCCATTTTGCTTTGTAAGCCATAAGAGCAATATTAAAAACAGTAGTACAACTGTTGCAAAGTATGGGATTAACTCAGTCATTGAACCAATGACCTTTTGGCAGTATTTGTTGTGTTTTATGGTAGATTTCAGTTATTATAAACCTCTTAAATTAACTCGTTACATGATAAAACATGTTAATTTCTTATACATGTTAATTCTCTTAGTGTTCAGTTTTGATTAATACAGTTGCAAGCCTCAGAAAGTTGTATTGTAAGCTTCATTTTCAGACATTATGTGCTGCAAGTATGCAGTTTATCAAAAGCAGGTGATAAAATAGAAATGCCTTACACCAATATGCAACTTCTCCTTAATGGAAGTTGTCTTTGAAGATGTTCAGGGTTTGGCTGAGCTCCCGTTGAAGTCAGTGGGAGGGTTTCCATTCCTTTGCACTGGAAGAGAAACAAAGCTTGACATGTTTTTTTAAAAGGTTGTTGTGGGTTTTTTATTTTTCTTCTGTGCTTACACATTGAATATTTTACACACACGGATTAACTGGAACATCAGTTGCCTTCATTGTTCTTCTTGGCCAACACTGTGAAGGAACAAGCTGAAGGTGATGTGCTGTTTCCCTTGGTATTTTACCTTGAGCCTGGGTCTAACAGCAGACTTGAAACATCTGTGCGGAATGCTGCCTAGAAGGAGCAGTTTCTGGAAGCAGATGACATTGTTGTAGACTTATCTCACTGCTCAGTGTGTCTTCTGCTAATAGAAACTAGCATTTCTTTAAAAAAAAAAAACCCAAAACTGAAAACCACACATCAAGGAAGCATGTAGGCTTCCTTCTTCCTCAGGTTTTACAAATAGGATGAGGGTATAGTCTGCTGTTGTTCCTGCTGTTCCACTTTTCTTGTGATTGATTTGATAGGGTTTGGAGGTTTTTTGATAATAATTCTAGTTACAGCTTTGAAAAACTGAGTCACAGGTTTGTGTTGGGCTATTTTACTTCCTCTCAGTCAGCTTTTGCTTTAGAAACTTACTTTAAAAACTAATATATTTTTGGCCTCACCATTTGTCCAGTTGGAAACCTGGATTACAACCTTCTTGTCTCAATTACAGTGTTATGTTTTCCTTAAGCTCTTTGAACAATGATTTTTCTGTAAAATATCACAGCCTTCATGTTTCATAACCTACTCCCATCCCTTGACATCTATGCATAATATGTACTGTGCATGTACTTTAAATAGATTTTGTTCCTGGTTGAACATTGCCCAGGCAAAAATCCAGAACATAAAGCCAGAATGAAAATCACAACTCCTAAGATTTCCCTTAGTGGAGCAATTTTGGAATCAAAAGAACTTCTTGTGGGAAAATTTCAGGAGCAACTGCCTTTTAATGAATAACGCTAAAGTGGAAGAGAATGGTCTCTTCCATGTGGTTGCTTGATGCTTTTTCTGTAAGGTGACTCTGAGAACGAGGATCATGTGTTGACTTTCATAACCTGCCTCTGAAGTCCTTTCAAGATGCTGTGAGTCCCCTGTGTGTTTTGCCTGTGTCCCCACTGGGGACATGTCTAGTGGATTTAGTGTGGTTTTGTTTCTTTCTATGGATTGGTTACAATGAGACGTGACAGTGCAGAAGTTTAATGCTGTTTTTTTTCAACAGTTATTGAGACAAAATGCTACATCTTGTGTTTTGAAAAGAAACGATGTGGCCTAGATCCAGGATGACAATGGTAGCATTCCCTGAAGGGTCTGAGTGGAGCTAGACCCTCTTCCCTTTCTGCAGACTGAGATTTCATGAGGCGTGGTGGTGTCGTGGTTTAGCCCCAGCCAGCAACTAAGCACCACGCAGCCCCGTGATGGGATGGGGGGAGAATCAGAAGAGTAAAAGTGAGGAAACTCATGGTTTAAGATAAAGACAGTTCAATAGGTAAAGCAAAAGCCACGCACGCAAGTAAAACAAAACAAGGAATCCATTCACCACTCCTCATGGGCAGGCAGGTGTTCAGCCATCTCCAGGGAAGCAGGGCTGCATCATGCGTAATGGTTTCTTGGGAAGACCGATGCCATCACTTCAAACGTCCCTCCACCCCTTCCTTCTTCTTCGTCCCAGCTTTATATACTGAGCATGATGTCATATGGTATGGAATATCTCTTTGGCCAGGCTGGGTCAGCTGTCCCGGCTGTGTCCCCTCCCAGCTTCCCGTGCACCCCCAGCCTTCTTGCTGGCAGCCCAGCACGAGAAGCTGGACTGTCCTTGACTGCTTAGCGACAACTCAAAACATCAGCACGTTATCAACATTTTCTCATCCCAAATCCAAAACACAGCCTCACACTAGCTTCTGTGAAGAAATTATCTCTACCCTGGCTGAAACTGGGACAGGTGGATAGACCTAGAGAACAATCAGCCATTGGAATAATCTCCCCAGGGAAGTGGTGGATTCCCCAATACTGGACACTTTTAAGATTTGGCTGGACCGGGTGCTGGGCCATCTTGTCGGGACCATGGTTTACCAAGAAAGGTTGGACCAGATTATCCTTGAGTTCCCTTCCAACCTGGGATTCTACAATTCTGTGATACCTGGCAAGGTTTTGCTGCCTCTCTGTGAGGTGAAAAAGCATTCGCCGAATGGTATTTAGGAGACTCCACCTATTCCACTGTCTGATTTTCCTGTTATGCTGCAGCCAGTCCTCCCTCTCTCCATGGACAAAACCCAGCGTTTTCTTTCCGTAGCTCCTGACAGCCAATCCTTCTCTTGAGAGGCACAGCATGTGGCACAGGCTGACTTCTGATTCCTGCCTGCGCTCCCTGTAGTGCTGTTAACTGTCTCGCCACTACTGCCCTTTGAAAGGGCTGTCTTCACCAAGGTGTCACTGTCCTTCTGTGCTCCCCCTTTAAATAAAGGGGGACTTTTCTGGGGAAATGGGCATGTAACAATAAAATACCAAATTTATTAACTTAGGATACAGCTGTGTGTTTCGTCTCCAGTAGCTTAGTGTGCCTATTATTTTTCTTTATGTTTACATTTACTGCCTTACAGTTATGCCAGTTATCGTACCTCTTATTGGGCATGGCAATGCTTTTGTTGTGAACCTTATTTTTCAACTCCTAAATTTGGTGGGGTTAAACTATTTGAGATGAGATTTTTAGAAGACAATTACAACTCACATTGCTTATTTAAAAAAACTGTTCAGCTAAAGTGACAGAGTTCTTTCAGGGCTGGGCTGAGGCTGGATGTGTTTTTGAGAGATTGGTGAGGATTGGGTGTTGATACAACTCCTATGCAAAGTTTCAAGCTCTCACTCTGTGAGAACGGGTTGTTTTACAGGTGTGTGGAAGTATTGTACTCCAGTGAACTTCAGAATATGTCCACTAAGAAAAATGTTCCTTCTGAAATACAGAAAGGTTTAATCAATCATGTTCATTTTAAAAAAGAAAAAAGAGAGAGGGAGAAAAACACCTCACCTCTCCACTTAGATTCTTTTCTTTACTATGTTGACAAAGAAATCTTGGTTTCTTCTTCTGTGTTGAGTAGATTTTTTTTTTTTTTAATCTTAAAGTTTATTGTCCCATAATCTTAATTCAGCTTCAGGAAAGCACCCTATTTCAGAGTCTGAAAAATCCACCTAACAGAGGTGAAACCACTTTCCTATAGAAGAATGCAGAGTGCTGCTCTGTGCTGAGTCTGAAAAAAGAATAAAAAGCTATTGCTACTAATTTCTACACCATTTCACATCTATTGGAATTGCCTCCTGGCTTGTGATGTTTTGCTGAAAATGCTTATCAGCAATGGGCACTTTGCTAACCGTTCATTAGGTGCTGTTCAGCACAGGCGGATATTTTCAGTACAAGTTGCAGAAAAAGCACTCTAAGCTTGCTGGCAGTGGCAGTTAACGTGGTGTAGCAGAGACATATCTTTATTAAATCAGCTCAGCTATGGCATGAGATTTTATAGCAATAGTATAAAAATAACATATATAACATAGTAATAATAAAAACAACAGCAGTATCCCAGTATGTACAGCATTAATCTCCCACTGCTCTGCAAGGGCTGGCGGGAGTCTATCAGCTAACCCCATTTCAGCGCTGGTTACAGAGAGAGTAGGTCAGGAAATCCCACTGCTGACCATTTCCAGCCGTGGATTGTTCCTAAATTTCAGACAGGCTCCCAGCATCCAAAGCCAGCTGTATGTAACATTCTGGCTGCTTCTCACAGCAGCTTTTGCAAGCAAC